CCTTTCAATTTAATGACTTTTCAGTGGTGAGTGTGAAAACCAAAATGTTGTTCTGCGAGGCAAGGCGGACGCTTGGCCCTGCCCCCTCCCCCAAGCACTCCAGTGAGATGATTTCGTGACTGGGGACAGTCATCTTGCCCTGTGTCACCTCGAAGCATTTAAATCCTGCTCCCACCAGCAAGATCCCTCCTGCCCTCCATATGGACGCATGGGGGCAGCCACACCATCCCTGGGTCCTGAGCCCAGACAACCCTGGCACTGTCCCCACCATAGTGAATTAACCCTGGCCATGGCTGATGCTGGCTCTCTACAGAAAGCCAAATGCCAGCGTGCAGGGAATCAGCCCAGGAGGAGACTCTGTGTGTGTTCAGAGTCAAAGAGCCCCTTAGAATGGCAGGCACTGTTCGTTGATGTGCATTCTGGGGTAAATGACAAGGAGACCGTAAGTCACATTGCCCCCAGGGCTCCCTGTGTTTATTTACTGAGTTCAGCCAACAGCCTCCGAAGTGATTTAGACGGCCCTCCAGATAAAACTCTGGGAGATTCAAAAGGAGCTTTTACAAACTTAACCTTGCCTGGGTGGTGGGCGCAGGCGGGCGGGAGAAAGCACAGAGGAGGCATCGGAAGGGGCCTGGGGCCTAAGACCACCTCCCGTGACCGCCTCTGAAGTCTAGGGGTGGTTCTTTGAGCATAAGACTGAGGTGTCCGAGGGACAGAGGTACCCTAGGCCCCAGGCCCAGGAACCCAGAGCAAAAACAGCTCCGCAAGTCGCCTGCCCAAGCATGAAGCTGCAGAGAGCATCGGAGGAAAAGAAAAAACACCCAGGCCTTGAGACCAGAGGGAGAAACCATGAGGCAATGGCCGGGTGCGGCAGCTCACACCCATAATCCCAGCACTTCGGGAAGCTGAGGCCAGAGAATTGTTTGAGGCCAGCAGGTTGAGGTTGCAGCGAGCTGTGACTTCACCACTGCATTCCAGCCTGGGTAACAGAGCAAGACTCCATCGCCAAAAAAAAATAAAAATGAAAAGAAAGGAGCAGAAGGCCGGGCATGGTGGCTCACGCCTATAATCCCAGCACTTTGGGAGGCTGAGGCAGGCAGATCGTTTGAGGTCAGGAGTTTGAGACCAGCCTGGCCAACATGGCGAAACCCTTTCTCTACTAAAAATACAAAAATTAGCTGGGCATCGTGGCAGGCACCTGTAATCCCAGCCACCCCGGGGGCTGTGGCCGGTCATTTGTTTTAACCTGGGCTGCCGGGGTTGCTGTGTCCCAACACCGCCCCATTGCATTCCCGGTTTTTCAAAAAAAAAACACCCCAAAAAAAAAAAAAAAAAAAAAAAAAAAAAGGAGCAGGAAGAGAAGAGACATAAATAGTAGATTTGCTGAATCTGAGGATTCTTTCCCTTTCTGCACTTTCAGGCTGAGATCTCTGAGCTCTGAGAAAAGCCACTTGGAACCTCGCCAGTGGCCTCCACCCTTTTTCAGAGGAGAGCAAACACTGGCGCAGCCTGCACTTGTCCCTCCTTGTCAGGGATTTCTTTGCCCTGGCTTAAAGAACACCCCAGCCTGCACTAATGGGCCTAGGGCGATGCCCACACTTGCAGGAACCCACCACACACCGCCTGTCCTCCTCCTCCAGGCTGCCCCGCAGCCCTTCAGCCATGCAGGATGCTTTCCTGCCTCCACACCTCCACCTAGGCTGTTCCCTCTGTCAAATGCCCTTCCCACACGACTTCCCCCTAAGAAATCCTAATTGTCCCTTAACACTCAGCTCAAAAGTCATTTCCTCCAACGCACCTGGGACAGAAGAGACCACACTCTGCCCACGTTCCCCAGAAACTCCAGAGGGAGCAGGACACGCTTACCCCTGTGAGTCTGAGAGGCGGGGTTGGGTGTTCATCTGTGTGCACTTGGTCCCTGAACACGGCAGGTGCTCCATAAATGTCAGGCCCACTCCCCTAGACATCAAGAGGGCTGCATCCTCCAACAAAGCCCCTCTCAGTGACAAGCGTATCTCAGAGCCCCCACAGTCTCTGACCATAGCAACAGGACCAACATCCCAGTCGAAGCAGGGGTGTCCCAGGCAGCAGGCCAGGACCACGCCGCATGTTCACAGGCTCAGTTATAGCCGTCGACCACGCCACGGCGCCCAACCACGCCACGGAGCCCGACCACGCCTCGACCAAGCCACGGCGCCTGAACTTTTATCTCCATTTCTCAGGTGAGGACCTGAGGCTCGGGTGGCCCCGTCACTTTCCTAGGGGCATTGGGCAAGAGGCAGGGACTGTGCACAGCCCAGAGCTGCCGTCTCCGTCTCTCAGAAAAGCAGCCCTGAGTCTCAGCCCTGCCATCCTTTCCCACAGGATTTCCAGGCAGGGCTCAAAGAAGTCCCTTCCTCACTCTAAGACGGGTCCTCAAAGCTCGGATGCAGGACCTGAATAGAGGCCTGCGCTCATTGATTTGATTTGATTTTTCCTTCTAGATAACTGGCTCAAATACCTATTGTTTTCCCTTGATCTTAAGGCAGCATTTTCAGGACAAGCAGGAGAGTCTCTACTTGCCTTCACCTCGGGCCATAAACCAGGGGACAGCACCACCTCCTGGCCGGCAGAGATGTGGCGCCCGCTTGGTGTCCGGCTTGCAGAACCCAGCAGCCGCCTCGGACGTCCTGAGCTGCCAGCCTCTCCAGTCCCAGTTAGCAGAGGAAGTCAATAGGGCACGAGTACCTCGTGCTCGTAAGGAAAGCAGGGTGGGCTGGCCTCACTGGGCTCGGGCAGCAGTGCGAGAGTGCAGGTGCTGCACCGTCAAAGGACAGGCACCACCAGCCTGGCCCATGAGCCAGAGGATGCGGGCTTCCTGCAGCTGGGAGCAAGGAGCACCTTGGAGAGGAGCCCAGGGGAGCTCCAGGAGGAGGATGACCGAGCCAAGGGAGCCCCGTCCATAAGCAAGATTGGGGGGCCACAGGGGAAGAAATTAGAGGTGCAGGGCAGACAAAATCAGAAGCCACAGTCGCTCAGTGCCCTGGGTATGACCTGGCACCGGGACACACCTAGCCAATACGTCCTAAAGAGAAACAGGAGCAGTTGTCAGCAAGGAGGCGTGTGTGCCGGCCGCGCGTGACAGTGTGTGTGTGCTGGGGAAAGACACGGATGAGGTAGGCAGGGGCTGCTGCCCGGAGCTTCCACGGGGTGGGAGAGAGAGCAGGAAGGACACGCAGAAGCACACAGATGATGGGGATGCATCATTTGTTCAATTAAATTTCCAAGCAAATCTCTCCCTGGCACTTCCGATAAATACTGCTGAAGGGCAAGCTAGCGTCCCCCGGAGGTAGAGGTCACTTGAACCTTTCATTCATTCACTAACCTGCTCACTCATTCATTCAGTAAATGTGAACTGCACTTCTGTGCCAGGCCAGGTGTTGCAGTAAGCACTTTATCCGCATCATTGTGTCATTAGATTTGTTTTTTTTTTAGGAGTCTTGCTCTGTCACCCAGGCTGCAGTGCAATGGTGCAATCTCAGCTCACTGCAACCTCCACCTCCTGCGTTCAAGCAATTTTCCTGTCTCAGCCTCCCGAGCAGCTGGGATTACAGGTGCACACCACCACACCTGGCTAATTTTTGTATTTTTAGTAGAGATGGGGTTTCACCATATTGGTCAGGCTGCTCTCGAACTCCTGACCTCAGATGATCCATCCGCCTCAGCCTCCCAAAGTACTGGGATTACAGGCGTGAGCCACCATGCCCAGCCTGTGTTATTAGATCTTCAGCATAACCGCCATGCAATAGGAATGAGGTATGAAAAATTGTGTCCCAGATAAGTTAGTTAACTTATCCAAAGTTACACAGCTTCTGAGTAGCAGAGCTGGAATTTGAGCCAAGGTTCAGCCCCAAAGCCAAGATATTAATTGTGCTAAGTTCCATGGTGGCCCTTCACGCAGAAGGTATTTACTGAGCTCCTGTCATGGGGCAGGCAGTTGAGCCAGGCTCAGGGGCTACACCAGGGACCAGAACAGAGCTGCACCTGCTCACACCAAGCAGATGGGCAGAGGTAAGTCGTGGATGCACAAACCAGCAGGAGAAGAGGCACCAAGCAGAGCTGCCTCCACCCCGGCTCGCATCTCACGGCTCTGAGCCTCAGTTTTCTCATCTGGAAAACAGGGATAAAAATAAGCTGGCGTGAAAATTTAAAAAAATCTGATACCCAAGACATAACACCCCTGGTGCCCCTAAATACTTCAATGTGTATTTCCTGAAAGCAAAGACATTCTCTTTCTCAAGACAGCACAATCCTCAAAACCAGCAGAATTGCTTGGATACAGTGTTACTATCAAATCTGCTGACCTGACTTCCATTTTACCAAGTGTCCCAATAAAGGCTTGTGTACCAAAGAAAATACTGAACTATGCGTTGCAGTCAGTTGTCACATCTTTTTTATCTCTTTAGTCTTCTTCATCTGGGACATTCCTCAGTCTTTCTGGCCTTTCTCTCAGGCCAGGTATTTGATAGAAAGTTCTTCAGTTGGAGTTTGTCTGATATTTCCCGATGGTTAGACTCAGGGTTTGCATTCCGGGCAGGAAATCCGCAGAAGTTCCATTGCATCCTTCTCGGTGCCGCGTGTCGGGAGGCCATGAAGTCTATCTGTGCATGCATGGATGATGCTGATATTGATTAAGGTGTTGTCTGCCAGCTTTCTTCACTTTAAAGTTAAGACTTCACCCTTTGTAATTAGTATCCTGTGAAGAGGTTCTTTGAGACTATGTAAAAATCCTGTTACCTATGAAATTTTCACACACTAGTTTTAGCATCTACTGATGACTCTTTCCAACATCAATCATTACCATGATGGCGGCCGAGTTGTGGTTTTCCAATCACATTCTATCTTCATCAGCTGGCTCTGGAGCACACCTTCTTCAAGGCAGATTTTCACCGAGGAGTGGGAAATCCGTCTCCCGGCATCCTTCTTGTCCCTACAATTCGTTCTCCCCACAATACTCAGAGAGGACTTCTAAACAAGGAAGCCAAAACATGTTCACCTACAAGAGAGTGAAGGGGGAACCTCCATCCCACTCCATACACAAGAAATTAACTCAAAGTGGATCAAGCCCTTAAATGTAAGAGCCCAAACTTTAAGCTCTTAAAACATGGGGATAAATATTCATGACACTGGGGATTTCCAAAGGATTCTGAGCTATGGCACCAAAACCACAAGCAACAAAAGGAAAAATGTATATATAAACCTCATCAAACCTAAAAAGCGTCAGAGGACACTGTCAAAGAGGAAACAGATAATCCATGGATGGAAATAAATATTTACAGTACCTTGTACTAGACATCTTGTCATATATCTAGTATGAGATTTGTGCCTAGAATATATCAATAATTTTTACAACTCAATAAAAAAAAGATAAATAACCCAGGTGCCTGATAAATACTTGTCCAATAAATGAACTAATGAAAACCATACACACACACACACACACACACACACACACACACACACAATTTACTATGGTGCTTACATTCAAGACAATAGTCATTTTTAGAGAGAAAACTACTATTGTACTAGCATTGATTTCCCCCCAACAACCATCTTCTAGATTAGTGTTTTCATAGCACAGAGTTTGGGAAATTCCACACCAGGAGTTTGCTGTTCGCCAAGACTCTCAATAGTTGCCAAAATTAGACCCAAGACTCAATATGGTATGAGCAAAACGAGCGTTTTCATGCACGCCTGGGTGGGGAGTGAACATTGGAACCATCTTTCCAGAGGGTGATTTGTCAA